TAATGCTAAAATAGTTCACACATGGCAAGTAGAAGTATAACATAATCAGGAGGGGCGGAGATTGAAATTATATCCTGTAACCAATGCAAATGTTGAATTATGCATGTGTTAATGTAAAATTATAAACTAGCTGTGTAAGATGGTATATAAGGATGTTGATTGCTGAGGGAGGGGCTCTCAAACCATGGGGATAACTTGTATGAGAGTCGGTTGATGTAAAAATAAACTTTACTTTCCTGGATAATCCGAGGGTCTCTGTTCCTGTTTTGTCCATTATAATACTGATTATACAGACTAGCATGGCTATATCTCTGAATTCTGAGGATTTATATAATTTTTATCCTCAGTGGATACCACCACTCTGTATTTAAAGCTTATGTAACAGATACCTTGACTGAATTCAAGATCCGAGATATAAAAGCATTTTCATAGTAGGGTAAAAGTATATAAAACACCCAAAAATTTATAACACGCACACACATATTACAGAAGTTAAACATAACACAGCAGATGATGTATTTATTTGATTTAAAACCACACACACTCTCCTTCTCAGGCTATTTTAGTCCCTTACCAACCACTCACCTCAGTGGAAGTGATCAACAATCTGTTGTTGTTTCTGAGACTTTTCCAACCTCCTAATGCATTTAAACCTTTTTTTAAAGTCCGTTATTGAGAGTACTTGTTCATTTCTCTCTATATATTTGTGTTTGTTTATTTAAAAAAATAAACACACTGGATGTGATAAGACTTACATTTTTAGCCATAGAGCTTTTGTTTAGTAAATCATTGGTGCATACTTATTTTAATAAGTATGAATATTCTCTTGTCATTTTGCTATTAAGTCCGTGGGAAGCCCCAGTTAATATTGTGGATTAGGATCCAGAGAAGGAAAGTTGCATTTAAATTTACAATCACAGTAGATTTACAGTTGTTTCAAGATTAGCTCATGTTCAGTTTGGAATAGTAACAGTTCCTTTTATACAGAAGGATGACTATGTTCCATTGATTTCACTGGACCATACTTCCAAATATATGTGTACTTAGGGTAGCATCCTGGTTCTCTGTGCTTCACAGCAATGGTGGGCAGGTTTTTACAACCACCCAGATGTTTTGGACTATAGTGTCTATCCAGCGGCCATAGTGACTGGGCAAATGGGAGTTGTAAGTGATGCAAATTTCACATTTGTATGGCCAAGTGTTCCCCATCCCATTTTTTTAATGACAGGACAGATTGGAACTGCCAAGCACTTGCCCATATCCCAGCAGGAACACCACTGCTAATGCCTGGATGCACCTCCTCCTCTCGCTACTCCTTGTTGTTGTTGCTGACTCAACTACCTTCTTACACCAGGCAAAGCAGCAATAGCTGCAATCTTTTGTAGACCTTGACCAATATTCGAAAAGTAGCATGGACTGGGCTCAGAGCACTATGGAAGCAAACAGGCAGTAGGAGCACTGATAAGGTTGAGAGCCCATGGCACACTACACCAGGTGACACCCCAACTATGGCCATGCAGGATTAAGAAGGCCGAGGGGCTGCTGAGAAGGCTTAGTGCTCCCTCCAACTCACTGCCATGGCACCATTCTATGTACTTGGCAGTGAGGTGGGAGGAGTGCTGTTTTGGCCCTGCCCTCAGAAGCCCTGCATCCCCACACTGGGTGATACCCTGGGAGGGGTCACCACTGGCCCATGGAAAACTTCACACCCAAGGACATTTTCTCCCCCCACAAAAAGCCCCAACAGTGATGAGGATGAAAATTCCTGCACTGTTGGTCCTACACATTTGCAGCTCTGACTTTTGCAGATTTGATTATTTGCAGATTTGCTTAATATGTTCTCTCTAGGAGTCTCTAGGCCCTCCAGTGTAACTCTGCTGGAAGCTTATATAGAGTCATGCTGGAAGTCCTAGAGATTCCTAGATTCTTTAGGCATTTGTAGGTCCTCCAGTGCAATTGTATGATCAACATGTGCCAGATGGTGGCCATAGAGTTGCGCTGGAGGACCTAGAGATTCCTAGAGGGGTGTTGTCTCAGGTTAAAAAAAATGGTTTTCTTCTTTTTATTTGCAGACGTTTTTTCCACTTTCATGGGAATCCTGTGTCCCTAATCTCAGTGAATGTGGAGGGCCCACTGTACTTACTTTACTACCTTCCTGGTGTGCCTGCTCAATATTTTTTATTATCTCTTTGATTTTGTTTAGAAAAAAATGAGAGAAATTATATCTCCTTTTATAGACCATTATTACTTCCATCAGCCTTCTGTGCTGTTCTGAAAGAAGAAAAGGTATAGAAGATGAATGACAGAATGTTGTTGGATTTTTTCCCTTTTCAGCTCATTTCTAAACATAGGTATAGAACATGGGCTTTGGGAAAGGGACAGATGCTATATCACATTTCCTCTTTGTCTCATTTTCCTGATTAAAATTAGGTCCATCCAACCCATGATGTGGGTAGAAAAAGATAAGGTGCCTTTCTTTCAGTATGGATGGAAAGAATAAATTGGAAAAGCCAGTTGTGAGTGAACAAGTACCAGTAAAGCAGAAGGAAAAATCAACCCCTACTCATTATTCTGTCTTTAGTTTCAGTCTTCTATAGTTGCTCTTTATAGAAAGAGAAGCAGGTCAGGAGGCAGGGAAGAGAAAACAACTACGTGCTGACATGTGTTGTTTGGGCTGAAACCAAAAAGACCTAGATATGAGGAAGTAGCACTAGGTTCATCTGGAAGATCCCCTTTCTGAAAAACCCACAATGACACATGCCTTAGTTACATGACATCCCATTTGCATTACTGTAGCACACTCTATGTGGGACTGCTTTTGAAAAGTGCTTGGATACATCTGATCCAAAGAGCTGTTTTGAGATTGTCTGAGGAAGCCCTTTCTTCTGTCACACTACGTTCACAGTTACATCTGGTTGGAGCAAGAGAAAAATCTTTATGAGTGTGTGCTCCCATTCTTGGGGACTTCCTTCTTATAGATCTCCTTCTGGTGCCTTCCTTGTTAAGCTTCCATAGGCAGGTGGGCTTCTTTGTTTCAGCAGGCTTTTGAAAACTGATTGTTTATGGGGAAAGGACCTTTAATAATGTCCTATATTGGCTATAATGAGAAATCCGTACTCAGTACAAAAGGCTACTGTCAAACCAGAACATGGAGAAACAGAATGGTTCCCAGTTGGCAAAGGAGTCAGACAAGGCTCCATCCTATCATTCTACATATTCAACCTATATGCAGAACATATTGTAAGGAAAACAGGCTTGGACATGGAAGAGGGAGGAATGAAAATAGGAGGAAGAAATATCAACAATCTGAAATATGCTGATGACACCATAATACTAGCAGAGAACATCACAGACCTGGAACAACTACTAAGGAAGATCAAAGAAGAAAGTGCAAAGGCAGGCTTACTGTCGAACATAAAGAAAACAAAAATAATAACCACAGAGAACTTACACTCATTCAGGCTAAACAATGAGGAAATAGAAATAGTAGAAGAGTTCTCATATCTGGGATTAAACATTGATCAGAATGGGGACTGCAGCCAGAAAATCAGAAGATTAAGAATGGGGTGGGCAGCTATGAAAGAACTAGAAAAGATCCTAAAATGCAAAGACATACAACTCAGCACAAAAGTCAGAATCATACAAGCCATCATATTTCCTATTATCATGTATAGATGTGAGAGCTGGGCAGTCAAGAAAGAAGATAGGAGGAAAGTTAATGTATTCGAGATGTGGTGCTGGAGAACAGTGCTGAGGATCCCATGGACAGCCAAAAGAACAAACAAGTGGGTCCTAGAGCACATCAAGCCAGAGATATCCCTAGAAGCAAAGATGACAAGACTTAGACTGTCGTACTTTGGACACATCATGAGAAGGCTTGAATTGTTGGAAAAGACAATGATGTTAGGAAAGGGGGAGGGAAATAGAAAGAGAGGAAGGTCACATGCTATATGGATGAACTTTATTAAAGAGATCACGAATATGAGTTTGCAGGAGCTGGGCAGAGCAGTAAAGGACAGGGGGCCCTGGAGATGTGTCATCTATAGGATCGCCATGGGTCGAGATCGACATGAAGGCAGTTAACAACAACAAATTGGCAACATTTTCTGTTTTTCTTTTAATGGGTTCACCTTTAATTCCTTTTACTTCTCTTCATAGTTTAATTATACTTTAACTTTTGTACAATGTGTACTTTTAGTTGTATTTCATTTAACTTTGCAAAATACCTTCAGTTCCAGGGCTGGAAAAAGGCATGATACAGTGGGCTCTTGGTATCCATTGGGGTTTCATTGCAGGACACCCTCCCGTGCATACCAAAATTTGTGAATGCTTGAGTCCCATTAAATACAATGGCACAGAAAAATGGCAAAATCAAAGTTTGTTATTCGGAATGTACAGTTGCACCTCTTTTTTTTTTTTTTTTGCAGGGGATCCATTCTGGACCTCCCCCCCCCAATGGAAAACTGCAGATATTCAATTCTCATAGGCTTGAATGGTGATGCATGCCTGTGGGTGCTTGCCATAGCATGTGCCCAATTTGCTCCCCCTCCATTTGCCACCTGAGCGAGGGACGCAGACTTGAAGTCTATGAAAATGGAGGGGTGACGGTATATATTTTTGTTAATATTTTCACACTGTGGATGGTTGAACCCATGGATAAAGAATCTGTGGATACAGAGGGATGACTGTATAAATAAAATAACCATAACAACAACAATTACTCCAAAATGTTATTACATATTTTATTAATATAACTTGCCAAAACAAGGATTACAGCTATTTTTTAAACAGATAGCTTATTGTTTCCTAACCAGACTCTAGCATTCCTTTATATCCTTGCCAATATACAAAAAGGGGTGAACTTCATGTAATAGCACTGTTTCTAAAGGATTTTGCTGTTCTGTGCCTACAAATAATTTCCAACATATGGTGACCCTATCACAGGGTTTTCTGAAGGCTGAGAGTTTGTGACTTGTCCAAGGTTACCCAGTGGGATTTCATGGCTGAGCAGGGATTCAAATCCTGGTCACTAGAATCTTAGTCCAACACTCAGACCACTATGCCATGCTGACTCTGATGGATTAAATGGGTATTATTCAGACTGTTTCTTTTTAGTGACTACAATACAATTTCAGCTCATTGGGTTTGAAAAACCATTCTGCTATGAGACTGGTCTTTCAAGCTGGGTTTTGTTTGTTCAATGGAAGAACTCCTATAGCAAGATGGGGAAGCTGTGGCTCTCCAGATATTATTTGAATTCAGTACCCATAGGCTCCTATTAGTCTAGTGAGTGGTGGGACTGACAGAAGTTGTTCAAAAATATCTGGAAGACTTCAGCTTACCCACCCAAGCCTATCGGTTGTATCAAAATTTTCCTCTCCATATTTAGCTAGTACAATATTAGGCATTTCCCCCACCGCATACATAGTTTTTTATTTCAATTTATCTGCTGCCTTTGTTCCAAGGTCTCTCTCTCTCTCTCTCTCTCTCTCTCTCTCACACACACACACACACACACACACACACACAAATGGCTTCAGTATTTTGAAAATTGTTTTCTTCTGTCGCCTTTTCTTAATTTGTAGGACAACCATCTACATGGTTGTTTGCACATCTTATTTTTTTCTCCATTTCTGTAACTTAATTCATTTTTTAGTTGCATTTTTTCCAGTTCATTTTTATGAACTTTGATTGCATGTTTTTTCTGTCTTTTACAAAATGGTTTCAGTATTTTGAGAATCCCCCCCCCCCTTTGATAAGGGTGCTGTCCTCCTTCTCCCCTTCACAACTAATTCTTTCAACAGTACCATCATGAAGCATTTCATCTCAGGGCTGTTTTCCAGAGCAGTTTTTCCCCCCAGCAATTTTCTCTTCTCACCTCATGCAGTACTAATCCCAAGCATATCCTCCATCTTTCACACACCTTACCTAGCTTATAATATCTTTTTCATCCTCTTGATTTCTTGTAGAATTTTTTTTAAATCCCTCAGGCCTTTCCTCTTTGCTTCTATTGCAACATCACAAGTAACAGGAAGTAGCCTACAATCCACAATGTAAAAGAGAGAGAGAGAGAGCGGAGGTGGTGAATTTTGTGTAGAAGTACTGCTCTTGGAAAGTCAGGGCATACATTTTTAGGATGTCTCATTAAGTCCTGCATGGCACTGGAAAATAAAGGAGTGTCACCTTCTCTATAGACACTGTGTATTTCATTGACACTTGACACATTACTGCCCAAGTTGATGATGCAGTAAACACCCAAGACTCTTTGTATGATTCCATACAACAACAAATAAGGCATTACAACTCATAGATAGCTTCATAAAATATTCCTTTACAGAGGATGATACGAGATTCTCTGTTTTGCCCTAGTGGTTGAAGGTTATAGAATTGAGTACTGAGTAAGGGTATTTTTGAGATTTAATACATTCATTTAAAATTCCAGGTTGCGAGAACAATGAGTACTGTTCAACCCATTAAAATTGAAAACATGCTACACTAGGATTTTTTTTTAGAAAAGAATAAATGTAAATGATTAATGGAGCAGAACTGACACAAAATAATATTATGTGCAGAAGAGTCCTGATGGGATGAGAGGTGATAAATACTTTTAACAAATGTGAAGTAATCATAATGATAAATTGTAAGGTGAGGTGATTATTACACATAGATTGAAAACTGTACCATGCAAAGTAACCTACAATTTGACTCTCACTGATCCTTATTGGAGGAGTGCAATATGAAATAAACTGTATAAGACCCTAAATGAATGCAGCTCTTCAATATAGCAGTTTACATAAACAATTAAAATAGAAGAGAAACCTTTTATAGTAATCCAACACACTGCAGAGGTTCAAAGGACAAGATGCCCATGAACCTGGATGAAGACCAAAAAACACTATGCTTTTTATCCCAGTCATACTTGTCAGGCAAGATCCAGGTAGAAAACTAATCAAGGGGAAGTTGAAAAAAGTATTTAAAAATAAGTTGTTGAAGCTAGACAATTGTAGGGACAATTGAATGGAAAGCTTAGAAAATTAGGAGAAGGCTGTTTCTAGTCCAATCAGCTCAGGGGACAAACTTCTAGTCTCAGGAAACTGACTAAGGGAAAAATTCTACTTCTTGCCAAATTAAAAGAGAAAGACAAAGAAAGTGTTCAGAGGCTTCCCAAAACCAGAGAAACCAGAGGTGATAATCAGTAAAAATTAAGTGAATAATAAGAAGAAAAATATCTTTTCCTGGGATTCAGATGCTTTTTGGTTAGTTGCTTCTTCCTTTCCCCTGCTGGAAAGGTAATTTGTAGGTCAATAAATGACATGTGGTGGATCAGAAACATTAAGAAACACTTTTCTATTGCTTTCAGGGATGGTCAGGATCATGAAGGGGATAAGCCACAGAAGGAATCAAACTTTGTATCTTATCTTCATACTGATCTGTTGTTCTATGGTTTTAACCAACCTGGGCAACATAACTGTCTTTTTTGTCAGTGTCAATGCAGCTGGAATCTTTTGTCCTTAAGAAAGAGAAGGTGTGCCAAAGCTTTGCTCTCATAACATTGAATATTGTTGCTCTCTGATCCTAAATCTTGAACCAGCAGGGACCTGAGCTACTATGATATAAAAACTAGTACTTCCTCAGTACCAGATCGCACCAGATAGATAGATAGAGTGTATTGTGAAAACTTTTATACACAAAATATTCTGCTTTCTGAATAAATGATTTTTTCACAAGTCTCCAAAAATAATAATAAAAGAAAATAAAAATAAAAAAATGCACAAAAATTACTTGTACATCTTTTGAGAAAGCTTTTGAAAGAAATAGGTGAAGATTGGATCCCTGTTCGTCTCTACAACCTCTTCCAGTCTTCCCTATTTTCTTTTCTGAAACTTTATCTCTGAAGTTGCATGAAAAAAAAACTTTCTCAGTGCCTAGAGCAGGGGTAGGCAACCTAAGGCCCGGGGGCCGGATGCGGCCCAGCAAGGCCTTTGGACCGGCCCCAAACCGGTCCTGCCACTGCCGCCCCCCCACCGCCGCCGCCCCCCCATGATGATATTGATTATTGTTGTTATTACTTGTTCTTGGGGTTTTCTTGGCAAAATCTTCACAGGGGTTTTGCCATGGCTTTTCTGGGGCTGAGAGAGTGTGCATGCATTTTTTTAAAAAAAATAATTCTTTTTTAATTTTAATTTTTATTTATTTATTTATTTATTTTTGGTGCTTCGGCCCGTCAATTGTCTGAGGGACAGCAACCCGGCCCCCGGCTCAAAAAGGTTGCCTACCCCTGGCCTAGAGTCTTTGAAGAGGCTGGTGAAGCTACTAGAAGATATGGAAACAATCCATTAAAAGTATTGGACATGGATCAAAGCTAAAGGGAAGTTTGTACCTTTCCTCTGAAAAGGTGCGAACTCATACAAGATCACCTCAGTAAAGTGAAGAGTGTATGCATGAGAGTGATATCCTAGCTAAATCTGTACTAAATTTGCTTATTGTGCAATGAGGTCTGGAAACATAAGATCCCTCAGGCAAATTAAAGGAAAGCTGGCAACCACAACACACAATAAAAAATAGAATATATGAAATGTTCTGCCTCATTTATTCAACTCTAGTAGCAATGAAATACAATATTTGTTTTTCACATGAAGGTCTGGAAACTTTAGACCCAATTGCCAAAATGAATTTGTACAGTTAGCCTGCAACAGCAAGGAAACAGCCATTAAAAGCCAATGAGTGCTAGAAACTGCAGCCTCAGTTTACAGCTACAGAAAACTGAGAAACACACACACACACACACACACACACACACAATTAATACAAACTATAAAGTACTATTCCTTTCTATCTGATAACTCCTGCAAATAAAAATCTGTTTTTCCTTTCTGAAATAGACCAAAGCACCAGCGAATGCAGCCCCAGAGAACATTTAAATCAAGCCAGGAAGAACCTACAAAAATGAGAACAACCCAAATCCCACCATCCCTTTTTATCTGACGATTCCTGATTTTTTAAATCTATAGTCATGCTCTTTTGTTCTTCTCTCTCACTCACATACATTGTGTGTGTGTGTGTTTTATAATAAACCAACCCACCATAATCAGGAGAGAGATCTTCTGCTATCTCCCATCATTTGGTAACAAAATGGAGAAAACCATGCAATATATACTGAGGAAGATACCTGATACCCTCCTTTGCATAGTTATCCCAAAAGAGCTATTAAAAGCAAAAGGAAATGCTGAGAGTCAGTTGACTCCAGGGAGTCAGAAACTCACTGTCGTGGCATCCCCCAATAAGGTCCTAATGGAGGAGCCATATTCAGAAGCCTTTCTGGTTGGAAAAAAGGCAGAAAGTCAACTGACTATGCAGATGGGCTTAAGGGGGTGTTTTGAAAGCAAAAGCAGCTTCATTTATATACCGCTTCTATATCCCATTAACACCCATGGGACTGGGAAACGAGGGAAGGGAGGAATAGGGAAGGGTGAGGGAAAGGTAGGGATGGGCATGAGGGACCATGGCAGGGGCCCGACACTTACCTGGAGGATGACGATCTTGCCATCTTGGGTGGCTGGCCCTTACCTAGAGGTCCCAGAGGTCCCAGAGCCGGTCGTAGAAGGGCAGCCTTTTCCTCAATGGAGGGTACTCCCCATAATCCTTGAGGGCTTCAAAGAAGACCCCCTTCAGTGCTTTGAACTTAGTCTGGCAATGTTGGGGGGTCATCCTGAAGCTCTGCTGATGGAGGGCTTGTGAAGCCTGGGAAAAGTATCCCCAGTTGGGCCGGTTGGTACTGGCCATTACCCTTCTAGCCACTGGCTCCGGGGTGAGGGCATGAAAGAGAATGCCCACCTCCTCGTTTGTTCACTATGTGATCTGGACTGGCACTCTCCTCCTGGCTGCCATCTTCATCCTGGGGACCTGCAGAGGTCCATAGGGGCATTTATGGGCAATTGATGCTGGGGCAGATGGCATTACCTGGCTCCTAGCCAATGGGGACCCTCAGAAGAGCAGTTTGTATGTAGCCCCCAATGGTTGCCCTCTGGGCTACCAATTGTTACAATGAAATGGGCCATTAGGAAAGCTAACT